ACAGTATGTATTTACCTACTACCTATTCTGCTGTGAAAGGATTTCTTCCCAAGAACCACATATGAATGATTATTGGAAAATGAGAGAATAATAATACCAGAATTTTCACACTATTTTGTGTTATGAATTAAAAACTCTTTATCTAGATTCTTAAACAAGAATAGTTACAGAAGGAATATTTCCTTTAAAAGATTGAAAAGAAAGTCTCTATATTACTTGAAAGCATGACGTTTATGTTGAAGTAAAATAAATATTTCCAAAATAATTCATTGAAATAATAAAATCAGTTGAGACAATCTTCAGTATCAGTTGCAAACTTTCATGCACTTTTATTATTTGAACTGTAAGTCTCACAAAATGTTATAGCATTTTAATGAAGATGATAAATATTTTAGTAGATAGTTTAAAGCAAGTAAAATCTACTTATAGTTTTAGTCATCTTTGTTTAAAATCCTATTCAGGAAGAAAATCAACAAATGAAACCATCCTCTTGGGTTCTGGGTTGTGTACGATGAGATACTTTAAAATACTTAGTTTAAGCAACCTTACCTTAATGATACTCAATTAATATTTATTTTTGTGTTTATTAAATCCACTCAAGTCTGTCTTTATAAAAAGAGAATGATTATATGCAGTTATTTTGATTTTAAACTAGTTTCAGTTTTCCAGGAGAAACGATAGAATCAACTAGAGCACAGAATACTATTCTATGATGGATTGCTTTAATTCAATCCACGGAAGATGAAAGAGTTCGCATAATAGCTGGAATTCAGAACTTAATCTTTGATTAAAAGTTTAGTTTTTCCAACAACTTTATTGGATAAATCAAGGCAGGTTATTTCAAGGTGCTTGTTATGCTGAAATTTTTCCTCTTGATTCAGGTTTTTTTCTACTTCTTCCTGAGAGAAGGCTACACTGTCAGTCTATATTGATAATTTTTGGGCGTAAGCATGTTATTATTTTTATTAAAATATATTATCTCCATAAACTATGAATATTTTTAAAGTGGCAGTTAAGGGAAAGTCACAGTAGTCTTTTTTAAAAAGATTAAGGGGGCAACAGGAGAATTCAATGCAACTGTCATCACTGATGTATTCTGTCTTGACTCATCCAATAAAGTTGTTAACAAAGCAAAACTTTTATGAGCAAAAGGGAGAAGGCCATTGAGTCCTTTTAAATGCTTTATCAGCACTGAGTGTGGTAATGCTTACTAAAGCATTTGACACTTGGTATTTTATGGATAAAAAGGAAAATCACTCACTAGCAATTCCCTTTGTCATAGTCTTCTCCACTGCATTTTACAACACAGACATTGAAGGACAAAATAATGTCAACTCCCCCTATGTGGAAGCAGAAAAAATAAAGAGCTATGGATACTATCTAGATAGGATTACATCCTATACTTCTATTAAAGCAATTTAAAGAAACTTAAAACAAAATACTCTGATTAAAAATGATGAAAAGAAGGAAACTCTTTATATATTCTTTTTCAAACTAAAAAAAAAATACCACAATTTACTGGTAGCACCATACCACAATTTACTGGTAGCACCAGTAGTTTCAATTTAGAAGTGCAAAACAATGGTTTCTTGAAATATTATGCATATCTCCTAAAAATGTATTCATTAGTGCATGTGATCATGTTTATCTACACACTAGGCACTGTTTAGAACAGCATATCTCCACTTAGTAATTTAGGATAACATACATCTAAATTTACAGCCAAAGCTAAAATTGTCAGGATTAGTACACTGAACAAACATGAAGGAAAAGTTATCACAAATTTGTTGCATATTTGGTTCACCTGTGTACAAATAAATCATTTGGGCCAATCATACATGAGGAAAATTTGTTAGTGCATGCAAAAAACATCAATAATCAGTTGAGCCAAGACTAGGCAAGAAAAATGCGAAAGAGTTTCTGTTAAGCCATGTAAAAGGCAATAGAAAGAATCGGCTTTAAACTTAAGTGGGTGTGAAACCAAATTAATTATTTGAAGCAGTTTTAATCTTAGTGTGGAATAAAGGTTCTTTGCAAGCTGTCCCACACTGAGTGTTTGGAAATCGTCAATAAAATTTGATCCAGCTAAGGAACAATACAGTGTATTCTTCATTGAAATCCTTGAAGCAACTTATTTTTTTAAAAAATCTGATGATATGAAAAAGGAGAGATACAACTAGGTAAAGTTTTCTGCTCTGACTCAATTCTCATTTAAAGGTGAGAAAAAATTCTTGTTTGTCAAACTGGCTTACTGTTATACCCAAATTTGTACTGGATACAATTCAGAATCCATTCACTTTTTATTGCTTTTGTTTCTTCATGCTCAGTTCTGAGGTGTGAACTAGTCACATCTTAACTATCTTTCTTAACGGTGTAAGAAAGAAATGCTTTATTAATCATATATTACTCTTGTTGCACTCATGTCCATAGTGGACAAAACAATCCCCTAGACAAAGCCTATTCCCTATAACCTGAATATCTGAAGGGCCACTTGTTTCCAAGAATTTCTGCCCACCCACTATGTTCCAGCAGAATAGGTGTGTTCCATATCCCCTCCATTAAATATTGTCATCTTGTGGGACCAAGGGAATGTGCTTCTCTATTGCAGCCCCCACCTTCTGGAACAGCATCCCTCAGAGATAAAAATGGAACGTTTTCCTAGGGTTCCAGAAAGCTTTGAAAACCTGGTTTTGGCCTCAACCCTGCAGTGATGTTTGTTTTATCTACAGCCCTTGTTTTGTTTTGTTGATTTTGTTATTTTAATCTGGATTATCAGATTTAATGTTTTAACTGTTTTTATGTTTTTTCTACTTTTGTATGCTGCCCAGAGTCCATTGGAAGTTGATGGCTAATAAATTGAATTAATTTAAAAAATAATAAGAATAATAGAAGCAGAGCTTTTCTTCAAGTCAAATAAAAGTAAAGGTGTATCGGCTGATTACATACAAGACAACAAAGAGCAAAAGATGCAAATTCAAATTTGGAACTTATTGAATGTGCAGGAAACAAAACATGACATAATAAAACATAATAAAAACTAGAACAGAATGCTGGCACGAAAAGGCATTATAGGGTCAATTTCTATATAAGATTGAGGGGAAAGTGGATAAAGATAAAACTTGGCAATGGCTTACAACTGGAACTTTAAAGAAACTGAAAGCTTGATTTTGGTTGCTCAATAGCAAACTATGCAATCTAAGGCAATCAAGATCAGAATTTAAAAATTATTAAATGATTCCAGGTGCAAATTGTGCAAAAAGGTAGAGGAAACAGTAAATCTTACACTCAGTTTCTGCAGGAAGATTCCATAAATGGACGATAAACAATTATATAATACAGTTGCCAAAATGATTCACTAGAACATCTATAGAAATTAACATGTGCCAGTAATGAAAAATATGTGGGAAGGTAAAGTTGAAAAACTGGTAAAAAATGAGCAAGATTTCGGAATGCAAACCGATAAAGCCTTTGCCCATAAAAAACCAGATTTAACTGGTTGAAAAAAAGAAAGCGTGAATAATTGATGTGGCAACACCTGGGGATAGTAGAATAGAGGACAAAGAATCAGAAAAGATTCAAAACAAACAAAGTATAAAGATCTAAAAATCAAAAATGAAAGGTTATTGCATGACTGACTAAGGTGGTTCCTATTATTAGCATGGGGTGCCATACCAAAAAACCTTGGATGGCATTTAGAAAATATACATGTTGACAAAATTTCCATATGTCAATCATAAAATGCCACACATTATTTTGTAATATTTCATGTAATAAAATTATTACAATCTATTAGATTCCATTGCATTACACTTAGAAGAATGTGACCAAAATTTAAGAAGTGTCTTTTTCTATTGGGGGACAGGAGAATACTTTCATGCCTTTTTTTTTTTTTTTTGAGCTGTTCAAATAAATGTACATTTGTAAAAGAGTTGTCAGGTATGATAGAGGATTAGTTTGCATTTTTATAATAAAAGCATATCTGTAAAAATATAAAAAGACTAGGACGACAAACTGCAGAAAATTGAATTTGAACAATAAATAATAGTATCCTTCAAACAAGATAATCTCTATGCACAAGTATTCTTAGGGAAATACAATGAGATGTTTAAAGTATCTATTTTATTTATCTGTAATCTTAAGATACACAGAAATATAGTAGATTATGTAAAGCAGTCCTCTGCTTTACATTATTATTTATGGGAGAAATGATCTTGAGTGTAGAAGTAGTTAATAATAAATTATAATATAATCTAAATTATAATTTAAATAAAAATAGACATTTCTTTTACAATAAATGGGAAATTTCACTTAGTATTTTTTCAGTGGTCCCAAATAACATGTCATAAACCCACAGTATCAGACATTTGATCCAGGTAGGTAGGTAGGTAGGTAGGTAGATAGATAAATAGATAGATAGACAGACAGACAGACAGACAGACAGACATGCACTCCATATCGACACATATCCACACATCCAGACACATAAACATAAACACATACTGAAAACTAAAGTGACATATCCATCAAGTCACCATGGGCAATGACATGATCTTACTTTTTTACAACATTTTTCTATATTAGCTGCAGTCAAACTGTGTATCTCCAAAACTATTGAGATTAGACTTCTTAGAACCTCATCATTATGGGCAATGAAGTAGATCTTACCTTTTTTACTATATTTTTCTATAATAGCTCCAGTCAAATTGATATTCTCCAAATCTATTGATATTAGACTTCCCAGAACTTGTAGGGAGCATAATCAATGGAAAACTATCAAAGTTTTCCACTCTAGAAACAGTGGAAGTTGAATCCTCAGCATCCACATAATACCAGGTTGAAGTATATTAACCTAGAAAATGATCACAGGATATGCTGCTGCACACATACAGTATGTGCGCTATATGCTTGAATTACAACTCCCTGAAGTGTGGTCCTAACCAAGAGTATGACAGGAAATTATCTTTTTATCAGATTTTACATAATAACCTTAATAAACTTACCAAATTCCAGCCTGGATAGAGATAGTCAGTTCCAACAAATTCAAAATAGTGAGCAAAGCCTTCTTTTAGCCACACATCTTCCCACCATACTGGAGTTACAAGATCACCAAACCACTGAAAAATAAATCCAGCTTGATTAAATTATTGTTTTTGTTTATAGTTTTCATTTCTGTACATTCCATTTCTATAATCAAGTGGAATGAATTCCTTGCAACAACACTGAAGAGTGATTGTACAAAATGCTTAATTTTTTCTTATCTTGAGTTACCTCATAAAATTCAACACATGAAAGGTTATCAGGATAACTGCATCCTATAAAACTGTTAATTTATTTCCCTTACAATAGAGATGGCATTTATGAGGGATTGGAATCATAGCTGAACTTTATGAAGAACCATAGGTGGCCATTTGGTAGTACAATGATGATACCAGAATACCTATACCTGAAATTTTCTGATTCACTTTTGAGTAGGTTTGGGGGACAGCTAAGGGTAAGAATGGGAATAGAAGCCTCTGTGAGGCAAATAGGAAACATATGCAGGTCACAGGTTGCCCTCTCTTCCTTTATAATATCAGTAAATACTAAACTACAGTTTCTGAAATAACAGGCTACATGCTTCCTAAATAAAAAAATGGAATGAAATTGTTGTTCAACCAAAATACGTTCTTAAATATTTAAATCATTGGAAAGAAAGAACCATAATCATGTTTCATAAAGTTGTTTTTGGCCTCAACAGCAACACACTTAATACTGCTTCTTTCTAATACCAGAACAATGTACTGCACAAGTCAAAACACAGCATATCAAAAGAATATAAATATCACATTGGAAACTTACCTAATGTACTGGGACCTGATGCAGACTTATGCATGCTTACAGTCATTGACTAATTTGTTCACTGATATCATGGGATCTACCTCATCTGAGACAGGATTCAATTTATTATCAAATAATTATTCAAACATAAATTTCATTATGATTGCAATAAAATTCATGCTATTCTTTCTAAATAGTTATGGATTTGGTGATTTTGGGGCTTGAGAGAGCTTTTTTAGGGATATTTTGTGTAAGCTTACAACAGCTGCACCTTGTAGATCAGCCTCCTCCTGGAGATTGGGATGCCCCTGACCTTCTTAGCCTTTGATGAAGACCTGTCTGTTGAGCCAGGCATTTGGGCTAGGAGATTAGGCAGGCTCTGCTGATGATGTGCTCAAGCATCATGAATTATTGGCTGTGGCAGTTGCTTTTTTTAATCCTTGTACACAGCCCAAAGTCACTGCTGTGAGATCAGCAGCCATATGCAGTAGATCATTTAAATAAGTAAAATAACTCTAACTAGTCACACAGGTTAGATCATTGTGAATTGTTTCCTAGTTCTCTGCAGGTTATTCTGAAGGGCTGTAAAAGGGAAACAACTGATTTTTCATTAGGGGAGGGCTAAGTAATTCCATCCTATTCCAGTGAATACATTGAATAAAAACAGTTGTGCATTCATTCTGAAGGGCAAATATCTTTATTCTAGATGTGCAAGTAACATTTTTTTCTTTAGAAAAACAATTTAACTCATATGTACATATGCACAAGCAATGAATAAATTAAACATAATTAATAAAACTGGCTTTCAGCCTATTTTGCAATTGAACCAAAGAAACTATTGATGCTTCATTTAAATATATGTATGAATTAAAAGTACAGTTAATATAAAAACAAATTAGAACATCCAGGGAAAGTAACAAATTGAGAGATTATCTTATGTTTTCCTATATACTACTCCTATAAAGACTTAAATACATTTTGAATTATTTAAATTTGCTTAGTAATATATTTGCAATATTTATTATATTAAGATATACTTGGTAGATACTTATTTTAGAACTGCTTTCTAATGTCAAAAAACTTATATTTATATATGTAATTATAAATGTTTGATAAAAAGTCTATTTCTGATAAACTACTGGATAACATTTTCTACATTAAAGTATCAGAAATTAGATTAAGATATTCTGGTTGCTATTGGCCTACAACAAAAATTACTAAGGGAGAAAGCTAAAATACAAAAAATGAGAGCTTTTTTGATTTTGTGAAAATGATAGCTGCAAAATAATAAAGAAGCCGATAATAATAATAATGATGATGATGATGATGATGATGTTGGAAGGGACCTTGGAGGTCATCATGTCCAACCCCCTGCTCAGGGAGGTAACCCTATACCATTTCGGACAAATGGCTGTCCAGTTTCTTCTTAAAAACTTCCAGTGTTGGAGCATTCACCGCTTCTAGAGGCAGTTTTATTGAGTTATCTTTAATGTGCTGAGTGGGGACATGTATGTTACCAAATTGCAAAGAGCCCTTAATCAGATAAATCAGTGAAATTCTATGGCTAATGAAAAGATCTAGTTATTACCCAATGGTTTAAAGAATAACTTTAAAATACAACTCTCTGTGGACTTGCATGAGAGTGACCCTTAGCAATGGAATGGGATGTTCTATATCTTACCAAAAAGGTAAATTATTTTTTTATCCAGAAAGTTGTTCAATTGTTTTGCTGACTATCTCCTTCAGAAGATGATGGGTGAAGTACAAGTGGGAGATAACTTTAATCAGGTGAGAAGATTTAATAACTGATATTGAAATAATGGAAATATTGAAATGAAGAGACATGATGTCATCATGTTTGCTTTTAAGGATAATACCATTAAAGTCAGTAAAAACATCAACTGTAAGAAAGTGGATTTTTAATAATCTAATAGCTGTACTGAATATAATTATGTAACCTTAATCTAATGACTAGATATACCACCTCATCAAAAAAAAAGTAAAAATGAAAACATAACCAATAGAAATCCCAAAGAAGAAAAAAAATAAACAGAGACTAAAGAAGTAAATGTTCTTGGTGAAAAAGTTTAGTGATATGAAAAATAAAAAAGTCATATATGGGAAACTGAAAGGAAGGAAGGAAGGAAGGAAGGAAGGAAGGAAGGAAGGAAGGAAGGAAGGAAGGAAGGAAGGAAGGAAGGAAGTGCTGGTTAAAGACACTAAAAAGAAAGGTGGGTTCTTCAGCTATATACAGAAAAAAAGAAAAAATAATGTAGCAGCTATTCATCAAAAGTGACAAAAGCTAATAGGTAACAAAAGAAAGGTGAATTACTCAACTACACTGGTGTTATCCAACAATATGCTATGTGTTTCATCATATGATTGTGAAGGGCAACCTGAAGGGGAAATCTGATATTGGTAGAGATAAGTTTAGATAGATTTTTTAAAAACAATTCTTTTCAGGCTAACCATATCTTATTTTTTCAATAATATTATAGAAGGTTGCTAATGTTTTTTAGAAAGACAAAAAACCACACAGATTTAAAATAGAAAATCCTCTCTTGCCAATAATATTTCTGAAGGATCTTGAAATTGTAGTTAAATACCAGCTAAATATGGGTCAGCAATGCAAGGTAGCTACTAGAAAAGGTAAACATGTGTTTAGGTTATAACATATATACATATATATTTTTAAATGGCAATAAGAAATCCTTCTATTCTAGATGTGAGAAGTAAGCTGAGACCCAATAATTCATAGGCCAGATTTCATAGATTAGCAACCACTCAACTTCAATATCTATCCACAAAGGGCTTTTTAATTCATTGGAACAATGGGAAGAAAAAGCTAGAGTTTGAACCATTTTGAGTATATGGGAGTTTCACTCTTACACTAGCACTGGGCAATCAACTCTTTAGTTTGTTTTTATTCTTGTTTGTAATGAACATTTTTAAACTAGCCAAGTCCTAGATTAAGAAACAAGTTTAATAATATAAGCTCCAGAACTCTGTGAAATATGGATGAATTCTGATCAGAGAGATGGATACTGTTATCAGATCTCACCTAGAGCATTTCCATCCAGTTGTCGACCACCATATCCAAAGGATTCAGATGAATTAGAATAGGCTTAAGAGATACAATGACCAATACATAACCAATAGAAATCCCAAAGAAGGAAAAAAATAAACAGTGGCTGGGCTTTAAGTTCCAGCAAAAAGGAACTGTGGATCTATACTGTATTCTTGAAAAGGGAAGGATAGAAAGGATATAATAGCACTCTTAAAACATCTGAGGGGAAGTCACAGAAAGAGTAGATATTGTTTGTTCTTTATTATTCCAAACTCCAAGGTAAGGAATTACATTGTAATCTTACTATAGGAAGACATGTTCCAGATTAATTTTAAGGCAAGAGTAGCAAGAGTATTGATGATTTCCCCTTCACTGGATGTATTCAGGCTACCTATCAGGGATACTTTAATTGAGACACAACATGAAATACTGATACCTAAATAGTCTCCATCAACACCAATATTTTTATATGCATTTGGACTTAACATAATTGAAAGCATGACAGGCTACTAAAACTATTTTATTACACAAATGCATACACACACACTCTGACCAATGCTATGATCCATTTTATCATTTGCCTGGTGCAAATCTGAGAAATTGGTAGATTATCTTGAAAGGCAAAGGCTAGCTCCAGTATCTGAGATCAATTTTAGGAATTTCAGGTTTATAGAAACTCTCTGCAGAGTTATTTGGAAGAGAGCTGGAAATAACTAATCAGAGATATTGGAATATCACTTTGTATCTCTATCGCGATTCAACTCCTTTAAATATAACTCTATTAAACTCTGTTTAAAGGGGAAATGCTGTTGTTATTTTGTGTATATGGTTTAAAGAATTTGTTTGAAACAAAGGGTTTATGTGTCAGCTTATTTATGAGTTCTCATTCAATTGAAGATAGATTGAGATTTACTTCCAACTGATTTCAAAGAGTTAAATACACCTTAAATATATATCAAGAAATAAACAAGATTTAAAAGTGCTCAACTTAATTTCATCACTGTTTCCAAATATCTTGGAAAATATTTAAAATGTATTTCATTTATAAAATAGTCAATATATTGTTTATCTCCTACCTGATGGCATAGCTCATGCACAATAACCATGGTGACATCCAGTAAATATGATAAGGAAGAAATGCTTGAATCCAGGAGTATTCTTTGCTCCACAAAAACATTCAATCCCCAGTTCTCCATTGCAGCATAAGGATGCTTAGGCACAGCTAACAAATCTAGAAACAGAATGAAATGTACTTTAACAAGCTTTTGGATTTTAAAACGCCCATTATTTAAAAACGAAAGGACATAAAACAATTCTGAAATGCAAGAATCAAAACATTAACATTCCTGAGCAATAACACAAACTTTATTTCACTAATTGTTTAGTATATATCATGTCCTAGGAATCAAAATATATTATTCTCAGTTTAAAATTCACTAGTGTTTCCCATCATTGAGACAGATGTGAACCTCATACTTCAGCAATAATATCTATATTAAAAGACATAATTTTAACACAAAGAAGCGACTATTCATGTTTGTCCATATCAAAAATTTGGTTTTATTACAATGAAGTTTGCTAATTAGAAGAGAAGGTATTAACAGACTACTTAGTTGTTCTAAATCCACACAAGACTAAACACCAAAAATCTTGAACTCAAAGCTAGTGTGGTAGTTTAAAGATTTAGCCAATGAGATGATTAAATTGCATTATTTTTCTTGTGTATATTTCTACAATTTGTAGTCTTTTGCATATCAGTTATAAGCTATTCCCATAGCTTTCTATTTGTTCATGAGAATCATGTCTAAAGTATAAATAATATGCTTGGCAGGCTTTATACTTAAAACATTTGGATATTTGTTTTATTTTGCTTGCATTGCATGTTATCATGCATACAGGTACATTAATATTATTCACTAATGGAAATATCTTAATACTAGTTGCATATTTGTGTGAATTGTGGAGTGCATTTAATAATTATTGGGAATTCAGATTTGTTAGTACACAAGTAAGAGCAGCTTAGTGTATAAAATTCTTTTTTTGTGGTTTGGTGTATATTTACATATGTATTATATATATTTTGCATAAAATATGCAACGGGAAAATAATTTTCTATCAACAAGCAATGGGAGATCATGTTAAATTCCCCAAATATTTTTAAGCTGACCATTTGCATAACTGATGGAATATATATACAAATGTATTTTTTTTAATAATTACTCTTACATTCTATATATTAAAAAAAATGAGAAAACATTTGGGTTTTTAAAAGTTATGATAGGCACTTTGCGCTGGGACAGGAAGTGACCAGCTAGGCAGTTGGAAAGCATGTGACCAGATTGGACCTATCAACTGGATTTGGAAAGGAAGGATGTGGCATATTCTACAGGACAGGTATAAAGCTTATGCTAAACAAATCATACTGTAGGTGTGGCCTCTTGCTTGTACATAGAGAGGTTCACCAGCCTTTGCAAACGCTTTATTAAAACTTGTTTTGTTTTTCCAACACCTTTGAAGTGGACTTTATTTTATTCTTAACAAACAGATACTGATAAAGGGACAAATATGCTTCATATGTCAAACTGGCAAGATAGCCTTTGACTGCTATATTATAATCCAGGCCTGGTTGCATGCACTGGCTTCATAATGTGAAAGGTGCAGAAAATTCTCAACTTCTGTTGCCTAATTTCCTTTTTTCATGAGAGAGAGAGTTTAGAATGGTTATTAAGGCACTAGGCTAGAAACAAGGAGACTCTGTGAGTTCTAGTTCCACCTTAGGCTGAAAGCTGGCTGCGTGGCTTTAGGCCAATCACTCTCTCTCGATCTAAATAAAAAAATAAAATGGGTACATGTGAGTATGTTATATTCTAAGTGGTAAAAGATATTCATATCCACTTTGAACATATTTAAAAGAAAGAGGCTGGAGATTTTTAGTCTTGGCTAACCAGTCATGTTATTGAACACTCCTACCTCTATTGCCCTTCCAAAAATAATGGCCAGTACCAGCATAAAATAAACAAAGGGAAGAAAGTAGCATGCACAAATGATTGTTTAATAAGAAACCTAGGGTGTTTCAGATTAAATCCTTTTCACAGGCTATTTCCTCAAACTACTATACTATGTGAAAAAAATATTTCTACCAATTCCAGTGAAACTTGTTTGGCTTTATATTAAAACATTTTTCTTCATGTACTAAATGAGACACAGTGAGTCCAGCAAATATAGATATGAGACCATAGTTTAGTGAACAGAGAAAATGAGAAGGATCTGCTTAAGCTAAAATAACAGTCCATGAGAGGAAAGATATTTTATGAGTTGATATAGAGAAAAGAATAAAAATATTCAGAGTTCAATAAACTAGGCAATGTCAAAAGAAACAGTCATTTTTCACAAAATTACATAGATAGCAATTTCTTTTAAGGAATATCTTATACTCTGCTCCAAGGAAAAGCTTGACATGGAGGAAAAATGGAATATATATTAAAACAAGCATAGTTAATGACAGGATCCCCATTTTAAAAAAAAGAATACAAAGAGATCCAGGCAAATATAGGGTAACCCATGTAAAGCTTGGGGAAACAGTTGCCTTATAGAGGAGATAGGCAGCATAAACATTAATTATTTTAATTTAAAGCATAAAAATAAAATGATATATTTAAAAGAAAAGCAAATCATCATGCAGAAGAATAAAACTGGATTCTGAAAACTCCTGTATTATCCTTCTGACGCAAAAAGAAAGAAGAAAAATTTGAAAGGAGCAGAGGTGCTGCCATCAGCACTGGGAATGAGCCTGCTTCATCTGACCTTGATAAGGAATACTTGCAATTTGTTCCAATCATTTATCTTCTTTCTCTATTTTATTCTTTTTCCTTTGTTTGGATTAAGTGTACTTTAATTGATTAATTTATTTTAATTTAAAAATGAATGACAATCTAGCTTGTGTATCTAGCAAATGAGTAGCTGTAATTGAAAACCATATTGTGTAGTATCTGGATAAGCAGTTATAGAATTAGGAAGAGAAGCTGTGGTTTGTAGTTTTTGTATCTCAAAATGGATACAATTCTACTCCTGTTTTCAGACATCAGTTTGTCTTTCTACAGTCTGTCAGCATATAACTCATGACCAATAGATCATTATTTTCCAAAATAAAGCATAAAAACTGATTTTTCAGACCATTGAGAGTTTGAAAAAGCATTAAAATGCAGTCTGCATAATATCAGTTATCATGGCATTAGTCTCTGTAAATGTTTGCTTCAATTTATTTAATTATAATAATTTTCTGCATTAAAAAAATTCCTGCATTTGTAAATTTTTATATAGTTGTGGAACAGATGGCACTTTGTGTAAGGCATGCGTGTCCCAATCTCCTGTTTTAGAGCTTCATTGTTTTTGTTTGTTTGTTTGGACTTAGAAAGTCTGTTGGGACATATAGATAGGATCTTGTAACGTCTCATGATCTTGCTATAAACAGGAAGTGAGCTTCTCTACCCCATCCTTTGTCAAGCTTCCTTGTTCTAAAGTTGGCAGAGCAGAGAAGTAACTTTATACAGCTTAACTGGATTGCTAGGCCTGGACTCAGTCAGCATCAGTGTAACACAGCAAGAAAAAAATCTTTATTGAAAATTAGAATGATTGGCCTCTGTCAGCATGATGATGAAGTTCACTCTATATCATGGCAGATTAAACCACTGCTTTACTGGTTACATTTCAAAGAACTATTTCACTTACACTTCATCACTTTCTAAACAACAGTCATAGGTTGATTCTCTGAGAATGACTATGTCTCAGTTTATCACTCCCCCTGTGATTATATCTGAAGGTGCTCTGAATCAGTCATGCTGTTATATTATGTAGACCACTATCACATACTTTGACAATGGCAGCACATAAGGAATATGTGATATAACTGAATTATGCACCTTCCCTAGAAGTAACATTTCAAATATTATTTAATGTAATTACTGGAAAGAATCTTAAATGTTGTCAGGAGAGTGGGGTGTCTATGATGTCATATAAGAGAAATCATAAGTGAATCTTGCTCAATACTTCTAAGCTACAAATACATTTTATTCTGAAGCCATTCTTTCTGGAATAAACAAGTAGAACAGAAATGAATAAACTGACGAACAAGAAAAGTCAGTTATCAGCATAAAGTACAAGTAAATGTGAAATAACTCTCACATTGAAAAGCATCTAAGAGTTCCATAGTAATCCTTGAATTCCAGGATTTTAACTATGATATTTTTAATGGTACAGTTGTTTTACTAAAAAAAAATGGCAGAAATTCAATCTCAGGAGTTTTCTTTGAATAAGAATGCGTTGACTGATACTTGAAATGATTTGGTAATCTATTATTATTATTATTATTATTATTATTATTATTATTATTATTATTATTATTATTATTATTATGGATCATCGCACAGTCAGCCAGATGTTCAGACTGGATTTGGCATTTTGTCTACCTATCGAGTCCTTACCCAGGACCTGGGATAGGCAGATGTGGATGTTTGATGGTATTACAGATATCGTCGCAGGATGGAAGCAGTTCCTAATAAGGCCGCCTTTTGCAATTGACTAATAGCGAATTTGTCAATGCCAATGGTGTTCAAGTGGTGCTCCAGTTGTTTTGGGATTGCACCCAAGGAGCCTATGACTATTGGTACTACCCTTGTTTGCTTTTGCCACAGTCTTTCTATTTCTGTTTGTAGGTCTTTGTATTTTGTTATCTTCTCCAGTTCTTTCTTGTCTATTCTGCTGTCTCCAGGCACTGCCACGTCCACTATCCAGACTTTTTTGTCTTTCTTATCGACAATTGTTAAGTCTGGGGTGTTATGTTGCAGGTGCTTGTCTGTTTGAATTCTGAAGTCCCAGAGCAATTTAATTTTATCATTTTCTATGACTTTCTGTATTTTATGATCCCACCAGTTTTTGCTTACAGGCAAATGATATTTTTTGCAGATCTTCCAATGCACCATTATTGCTACTTTGTCATGCCGCTGCTTGTAGTCAGTCTGTGCAATCTTCTTGCAACAGCTTACCAAGTGGTCCACTGTTTCTTCAGCTTCTTTGCATAGGCGGCACTTACTGTCTGTGGCTATCTTCTCAATTTTGACTTTGTATGCATTTGTCCTTAAGGCTTGGTCTTGTGCAGCCAGAACTAGTCCCTCGGTCTCTTTCTTCAATTTTCCTGCTCTTAGCCATTGCCAGGTTTTATTATTATCTGCTTTC